CTGTAATGTGTTACAAATATTCACCAATACTATTATTACAAACTTCTCGCTGTCCCTGAACCTGAATCTTGTCTAATGGAGAGGCAGCCTAGTCTGGCAGAAGTGGCATGTGCCTTGGACGAAACTCAGGACAACTCAGTTCTTCCCTTTATTGAGCTTTACGTGGGCAAATGCATTACTATGGTTGAGTGCAATTTCCCCAACTGTAAAAGAGAAATAATATTATCAATTTATGAGTTTTCTTTTCATAATGACATGAATTGCTAAAAATGTTTAAAGTAAGCAAAAGCCTTTAACTCGTTCCCTAGCACAAGTTAAGTCCTAAAAAAATGAGTCCCATTAGCATTATTACTATTTTAGAAGTAGTGATACTGATATTATGACAGTGTCCTAAATCTAGAAGAGGATCTCAAAGGATTGCACTTGTACTTATTTGTAACTATAGATCTTCGGCTTTGTAAGGAGAGGCTTCACTCTGGGAACCATGACCTTGACTGGCAACAAAGCTTTCAGATCCCTTATGTCCTGGTGATAAAGGTCACAGGTCTTCAGCACAATTCAAGTCCTATGCTACCTGTAGAGCCCACAGGAATTATTGGGTTCACCTTGAACAGATTTCCTCAGGACTTGGGACTAAGCAAATATTAGAATCCCAGGAGCAAAAGTTTATAATTTTAATAGAATATATTGTAATGTTTGTTTGCAAATCCCCCAATATAGGAATAAAAATTGTTTACTTGTACTCCAGTTTGTTCAGAATAGTTATACCCAATAATGTGTAAAAAAATGAAATCTGAGATATTCTCTAAAGAAGGCTCCCAGTTAGGAATAAGGGCAAATTTTATTAACAAACAAACAAAAAATTAATCCCAGGACAAAATTATGGGGAAAATAAAAGAATATAGTTAGTTCTTTCTTTCCTTTCACTTTTATTATAGTTTTGTAGGTTCTTTAACATCCCAATTAAAATGAATTTCAGTGCATTACTTGGCCAAGTAAATGAAAGTCAATATGTTGAAACAAACTTTAAGTCAAATAAAAGCCATACTGAGGAGTTCATGTGAATTTAATTAGTATTAGTAAAGCAGGGTATAGTGAACTGCTGTAATATTTCTGTACATGAACCACAGTAATATGGTTGTTTCATTCTTTTACTAATAGGAGAAAAAGTCAATCAGAATTAGTAATAAACATACTTTATAAAACAGATATGACTTTTTCTTACTTTCTAGTAAGTACAGTAAGTAACACCAACTGAAAAACATACTATCAAATAAGTCTTTAGAGAACACGGTTTGCTGACCAGATTATGTTGTTTAACATGTAAATTGTTACCATGAACTTTCTGAGTTTTTAAACACAGATTGTCCTCTTATGCAGTTTAAATATTTCCCTAGTCTTGCTTGCCCTATTAAACGTGCTTTTTTGTCCTAAAGAAAAGCTCTGCTAAGCAAATATTACTTTTAACCTGGGTCCCCTCCACGGGCTCCCAAACTGTGAATTAAGGGAAATAAAACAAATGTTGCTTACTGTACTGGATAAATAAAATGTTGACTCAAGTTATTTTTCATTGACCCTGAGTGGGAAGGAAGTAGATTCGAGGTTATTCATATTAAATACTGAATTAACTAGTTTGACATTTATTATTATTATTGGTTTGGGGGTGGAGTTTGTTCTTTTTTCTTTTTTCCAAAATCGACCAGTAAATCTATTCCCTCAGTAATTGACTACTCTGGGCCAGACTCAGGCAATGAAGGTTTAATGGTCAAATTGGTTGCTTCTGTCAGCTTGGCCTTAAGGTACATTCTCTTTCTGAAACACGTCTTCAGGAGATTTTTGCATGTGAAACACAAAGTTGAATTTGCCCACACATTTTCATTAAGTGCCCTGAGAAGGAAGTTATTATGAAGCCTATTCATTCAGAGGAATGTTGTTACATGATATAAGTAGACAAAGGAGTGCTAATCAGTGCTGCTGCCTTGCTATGAAGGGAATCTTTTTTAAAATGCTAACAACCATCTACAATTTAAAATAAGTGAGTCTATTAGATTGTCAAAGGTTTTTTTAAAATTGATAAAAATTAATTTTGGCAAGAGTGTGAGGAAAGGGCGGCCTCTACACCATTATTAGAGATGTAAATTGGTATAATCTTTCTGAAGGGCAGGCTGGTAGTATGTTGAAAAAGAAAAATTAATATATATCCTTTGACAGAAGTAGCCCAGATCTAGGAATTTCACCTAAGGAGTAATCACTCAGCTAGGGAGAGAGATTTGTATAAAGATGCTCAGTGCAGCACTGAGCTTATAAGGTTATAAGTTTATAAGGGGAAAATCTGGAACAACCAAATGTCTAATAATGGGTAATAATAGATACAGTGAAATAAAATTGGGTATGAAGATACAAAGGGATATTGTGCTGCCATTAAAAATTGTTCAGTAGACTGAGATTTATTGCCATGGAAAGAGGCTTGTGAAATATTACTGAGTTAATTAAAGTAAATTATATAAAAATACAGTCAGATTTATGTAACATTATGCATGTTGTCTATATAATCTATAGATCTGTGAATAAAGAGATCACTGAAAAAGATGTTCCACAAAAAGATAAGTGCTTTTTTTGGTTGTTGTTTGTATTTTCCTGCACTCAAGAACAACTTTTAAAGAAAATAAGAAAAATATTAGATAAGAATGCTTGATAACTTCCTGAAAGTAAAAAGATGAAGAGTTGGAGCTTAAGCAAGGCTAAAGAAGGAAAACATTTGGGAAGTATTTTATTCCACTTTAAAATTTTTGTTATAATTTAATTCAGTTTTTTAAGCTATGAAAGTAACATGTTCATGGTAAAAAACAAAATTTAATAGGAATGTCAAACGTCTGTAAAGTGGAGTACAAGTTATGTGTATATGTATATGTATATGTTAATACACGATGGATTCATACGTGTACAGACATATCCTTTGTTTCCTTAACTTACTTTTTTTTTTTAATGTCTCACAATCAGAAGTCCTAACTCCAGCTAATAACTGCTGAATTCATCACACACATGTCTGAACCAAACACGCTGGGCTGAGCGTGGGGAAAGAGGTGGACCCCAGAGGCAAATTGGGGTATGACCACTAACAAGAGGCTGAATGGATCCTAATCAGCAAAATGTCCCCTCTAGAGTAAAATACACTTGGGGTGGGGACCAGAGAAGGAGAAGCCCTATGAATTTAACCTTGATACGTGATAATTAATGTCAAAAACTGGATAGCTGCTCTGGACTGAATGTCTCCCCTTAACCCCCTTCAAATTCATTTGTTGAAGTCCTAATCCCCAGTGTGATGGCATTTGGAGGTGGGGCCTTTGGGAGGTAATTAGGTCATGAGGGTGAAGTGCTCATGAATGGAATTAGTGCCTTCAGAAAAAGACACACAAGAGAGAAGATCTCTCTTTCTCTCTGCCATGTAAGGATACAGCAAGTAGGCTGCTGTTTGCAAACCAGGAAGAGGACCGTCACCAGAACTAAATCAGCCAGCACCTGGATCTTGGACTTCCCAGACCCAGAACTATGAGAAATAAATTTCTGTTGTTCAAGGCACCCAGTCTATAGTATTTTATTATAGCAGCCTGACATGTTATGGCAGATTAAGACAGCAGCCAAATCTCACTTTTTGAAAAAGTAAAGACATAATGAGATAGAAAAGTGTCCCCCATCTCCTACATTTCCCCCTGTATTTTCAAGCTGTCTGTGGTTATTTGAGTGACGGTGTTTGTTTTGATGGGCTGGCCTAGAATGTAAAGTGAGTACTCAGGGTAATTGACGATCGCTAACCCCTGCAGAAAGACCATCCTGTACCAAAAGAGCTGTGATTTTTTTTTAATCCATCCTTTCTATTACTGGTTTTAAATAATGCGTCTGACAAGATTCTGCTTTTCTTTCTGTCAGCTGTCGGTGAACAGGTATTGGGCATTATTTGTGGGGCTGTAAATAAATTACATGAAAAAATAATGAGTCCTTAAAAAATCAAGAGAAATGTCTCCGGAGACGTCTACCTAACATGGTGATTTATGTAGGTCTGGGAAAGAAGTTTCAGAACTTCCAAATGAATAGTCTGGATCATAAACTAAAATCTCTTCTAAATCTGCCTTTGCTGTAGCCCTTGGACACATTTCCCTTTCACTTCTAATCTGGAAGTTGGAGAATGTTTTTCTTGTTCAACTTCAATTGTTTAGTTAATGGTCTAAGAATAACTCTTGGGGCCATCCCTCAGCATAACATGTTATTACTCTATCCCTCTGACTGAATGTGATGTCTTGATTGTGTTCTTGCTGAATTAACTGATCCCTGGGATTAATCATTTCCTTTTTACCAGCTAGAGATTGTAGACATTTAATGGATATACCTACGTCAGTCTGTTTAATGAGTCGCATTGTCTGAAGTTTGAAATATACTGATTATTCTAATTTGAAATATAATCGACATTCGTCCTCACTACAGGTTTCTAAGTTTTCCAGGTTTGCCCTTCCTGCCTGCCTGAGGAAGGTAATTTAGCTAAAGCTTTTTTTTTCTTTTTTTTATTTAGTTCTTCAGGGTCTGGGAACTCACGTGTATCTACTAAACAATTCTTGCATCGTTCACTATGGTACACGTTAAGCAAATCGTGTAGTTTCAATTTCTGTAACAGGGACTGTTCTTTCATCCTAGTAGGAATTGTTCCATGGAGGATCATGCCAGTTAATCTCACCCTGAGGTACCTCTGGCAGCCTTGCCGTTGGAAAGGAGGGTGGGATGTTGACACGGCTGCAGCATCTGTCACTGGGTAGAGAGCCAGGGTAGAGTCAGCTGACCTGGCAGGATAGGCAGGGCCCCTGCACCCCACCAGAGGCTGAGCAAAAGGCCAAAGGATGGCCTTGCCAGTTACAGGAGGACCATTCAGTCACCAAATAAAGTCACAAGAAATTAAATGGACTCAAAGCTGAGTCGTAATTCATGGGTTTTGTTTTCTGTTTTGTTTTCAGTTGTTTGAATTTATGAACTTCTTGGCTGAGAACGTCATCTTCTGTTACATGGGCCTGGCGCTGTTCACGTTCCAGAATCATATCTTTAATGCTCTTTTCATACTTGGAGCCTTTGTATCCTTTGAAATACAGAACAATGGGTGATGAGAAAAGAGAACAAACTACTTACCTTTAGTGATTATTCTGTTAAATTGTTAAAGTAATTTCCTCAGGTTTACTGCAAAGCTCAAATTCAAGGCAGACAAGTAATTCTAATTAGGGGTGGAAATTATCCTAAGAAATTGGGGCCTTTATTAAATGTTACGGTTCAGGATAAAAAGTTTGGAAAATACTGAGGGAAGTAAGGGGGAAAAACTAAAAGAAAATGACATTTTTTGAAGATTCAAAATATGTTTAACTCAAATTATGAATCATTTATATAAAGAGTATGTCAATCCATTTTTTATATTTAATCTGCATTAGAATGTATCAGAAGACAGCCAAGATTTAGAACTTCAGAAATACTTTCAGTGCAAGATGGTAAAATCTTTTTTTCCAGTGAGGACTTTGAAAAAAAGATAGTAAAGATCAAGTGAAATTAACATGATAGATGTGCTTTTAATGTCTTAAGCTCTGTGCACATGTAAGTTTATTTTAATAAGCTAGCCCCTTTCCTGTAAGTAAAAGGACAGGTGAAATCTAGACTTCGGTTTTAATGCAGAGGGCTTTTCTAGCTCTAGGTCTGGGGTATAAGCATTCCCAGTAGGAAGGGATGTCTATCAGAAAGGATACTGAGCCACTGCGCATGTCCCCAAGGACAGTCAGCAGCTGTTGTCCTTGTTCCCACCTGGAAAATGGGCAGATGCCCCCTAGGATCACAGGCAGACGATTGTAACAGCCAAGAGAGCCGACTCCTCTCTGGAAGCCAGGGTCCAACTAAGCACCTGCACCTACCTCTTGTTCTCTTTTCATTGAGCAGTCAAGTGAAGTTTCAAATTCCATCCGAAACCTGGATCCTAGAAGGAAGCTCCCTCTTCCCAAATAACTCCATCCCATTTGAGGACGAACTAGAATAGACAGACTATCAGGGAAGGAGTCCAAGATGTCAAAAGAGGAGAGATGACTACCACAAATATTTTCACAGATTTTTAACCTAGAAAGCTTGGAGTTTAGTGAAACATCTCTTAAAGCAGAAGTTGTATTATACATTTAGACAGGCAGTTCCTCTCAAAATTAAATCCACTAAAAGAAAAAAAATAAGTGAAACTTGCTAGGTTTAAGGAGTATAAACTGATGGAAAGTAAGATGATAATCGTGAGCTGAAGCACATTTATCCTTTCTAAAGTGCTGCTTGAGAGGATGATGCCACAGCCTCAGAATGGTCTCTGCCTCACATTTTGCAGCAGAACTGAGTGTAGAGTCAGTTATCAGCAGCATAAATATGATGAGAAAATTTACAGTGATTGAAATGGTATTGGGTTAACAATTTTAAACCGAGTATATGTTCAAAGAAGACAGAGTTCTCTACTGTTTCTGGACAGGAACTGACATTGAAAAATGAATTTTGGAAGCAAGTTGGACATACATGTATTGACATGTTTATTCCTGTTTTCTGGGTCCTAATATAGAGAAGCTTAAGGACATAATATTTAAAGCTCAAGAACTCTCACCCTATTGCAGCAACATTTTCCTCAACGTTTCCCTGTGCTCATCCACAGCTAGCAATTTTTGTAGCCAGAGCATGCAACATATATCCCCTCTCCTTCCTCCTGAATCTGGGCCGGAAACACAAGATCCCCTGGAACTTTCAGCACATGATGATGTTTTCAGGTATGTGAACTACATTGTGTGTTAGTGCACATCTTCTCTCGTAATTTCCCAGTACTTGGAAAACCATGAGGATACTTAGAGACCTTCTGGGGAAGCATAACTTCTCTTTATCCCATTGAACATACTGCCATGTGGATATCCATAAGTTCTGAACAACAATGGGATTTTTTTTTTTTCCAGAAGGGAAATGAAATTAAAGGGAATCTTGTTGGAATGGCCTCAAGGTTCAGTATCTGCTGGAAACTGGCCTGGAATAGGCATTGGACTTTCCCCTGACTTATTTCAGATCAATTTTCACTTGGGAGAATTTGCATAATTTAATAATTTCATAAATTGCATACTTACAGGTAAATAGTGTGTAAATGGTACCATTTTTGTTCAGTGTTAAAGCTCCTTCTCTTTAGAACCCCTGCTCCTTCCCTAATGCCAAGCTCCAGCAACTTCTTATGGTTAATACAGAAGCAAATCATATCTAAGTATGATCAGTTATTAGTTGAGAAAACAAGTATTAATTGCACTCTCACCAAATGCCAAGAGCCGTTCTAGGCACAGGTGGATGAGATGGACAGGATCTCTGCTCTCAAACCATACCTGAAGGCTCTTTTTTTCCCAAAGAAAATAAACAAAATGAATTTGCTAACCCTGAACTACCCTGGGGATTCTGTTTCTCTCTGTTCAATTAATTTTCCTACCATCAGCTTTTTCTTCTTTGGAGACCTTTCCCCTTACATGCCTTCTATGTATTTGTGCACTTATATTACACTCAGAGGTAGTTCATTGGAAGATGCATGAGCGTAAAACAAAACTGCTTCAGAATAGAGCAAACAAAATTTGGGGTATTCAGGGAGATATGGAAAGAGTGAGGAAAACTATCATTTATTGAATATCTGCTGTTTGCCACTCACTATATATCAATCCTATAAAGCAGATATTAACCCATTTTGTATATGGAAAAACTGAGGTTCAGGATCTCAAAGAGGTCAAGTAACTTGGCCAAGGATGAACTCATCCTTAAACCCAGGTCTGTGAGACTTCACCTCAAACCCAACTAAGTGTCCCAAATCCACATTTCTAGAAGTAGTAGTAGGAATAAAAGGCTTGTTTCACCTTCAGGTCCCTCCCAGCCTGTTCCACACAGTAAAGGGTGGGAGCTCTCAGGCTGAGAATGAGTCATTTAATCAAGTACTGGCAAATGGAGACCCAGAGTTTAAAAATGTCCTTCTGTAGGCCTCTGACAGTGCTTCTCTACATTTCCAGACATGCCGGCGGGGTGAGAGAGGGAGTCATACAGAGGATAATTCGTACCGATAGGTGATCTTTGACTTAGAGCAGTGATGAACTTTGGTAATGATTGACTCCATTGTGGGAAAGCAAAAGGCAAATTGGATCACATAAATAAGAAGTCGGCACTGGGTTGCACTTTTGCAAAGCATTTCTAGGAGTTGGGAAGCACTCTTCCTTCGTTCCCATCAAAATATCAGTAGCTTTACTCTGGAGAATGGTGGTTTATTTTTAAAACTTGGAGATTATATTTTAAACAATGCTTTTTTTCCCAAAGAAGATTGTGAGAGAAGTGCAAGGTTTAGATAGCCATGTTGGGATGTGAAGCGTCTGCCCAAATAACCTCGTGGCTTTCTGGATTCGGCACCTTCTGTGTTTGCTTAGCTGTTGGATTGGAGCTGCATTAAAAACTGAGGCCAGCAGTATGGTGTGTATGACCAGGGGATGTGCGGAAGCCCAGAATTCGGTGATACCTTTATGATATCCTAAATCAGAGAGTCAGCAAACTATGGCCTTTGAACCAAATCTAGCCCACAGGAATTTTGTAACTAAAGTTGGAACACAGCTATACCCCTCTGTTTACATATTGTCTGTGGCTGCCTTTTGTGCTCTAAGAGAAGAGGCGAATGTTGCCACAGAAATTGTATGGCCCACAAAACCTAAAATATTTACTATCTGGCCCTGTTCTAGATCATCTTCATCCTCTAGAAGAAAAATAATAACCCCATCACTTTAATGGGATTGGCATTAATAGTTTAATTCAAGGGAATAGCCATCTGCTAGTTCCTAGCATTAAGAACATTGGATTTTCCACCAAAAAGCTGTCTTCTTAAAAATGAGGAGATTGTAATGTTATAGGGTTAGGTAATGGAATCATAGATGCTCAACTCCAAAGTCACTTTATACCTTTCTAAGACCTTTTGTGGGTAATGTTTTGAGACTTATAGCCAGGGCAAGATAAGATAGGCGCTCTTGGTCTCTTCCTGCAGATTAAAAACAAGAAAGAGAGAGAGAAGGACATGGAGAGTTTTTGAGTATCTTGCTCACGATCTGACAACCCATAAGAGATGAAATTGAGACTTGAACCCAGGCCTCTTGACTTTGAATTTAGAGCCTTCTCATCTGTCTTGACACAACTTCAGATTTACCCTCAAGGTCATGAGAACAAAAGTTAAATCAAAACCGTGCCCTTCCTAGCCCAGGCCAACTCCAGCATGTCTTAACATGCCTCTCATGCAAACCTGACTCCGATCCTGTTCACAGTAAACCACACACGTGGGTGACACCCCTCCCAGCCATAGGCTCAGGTTCTACACTGCACCCACTGACCCCCTTCAGAGTGTCGGAAGGACCAATGGAGTTTACCATGTGCGGCGCAGTATTTTTTCTTCAAAAGAGAATGGTCCAGACTGGGCTTTGATTTTCTGCATGAATTCTGATATGCCATACCTCACTCAGGACCTAAAGTTTTAAATATATTTGCCAGGAAGTACAGAATTTAAAAGGTCAACGTAAGGTAATGTAAGCCTGAGGAGGAAGTGAAAAAGCAGATCAAATAACACACTGTCTAGCCTTTTCTGGGTGTGTGGGCACAACAGCTGCTGAAACCAGAAGAAACAGCCAAACCCCTTAAAGAATATTTGCATTATAATGTAGCTTAATGTTCTTAATTATGTCTAGAGTGGTTTTGGTCATCCAGTAAGAAGGATAAGTTTGGAAGCTCTCTGGTGGAAACCACTTGTCCATGCTTCACTAATAAATTTAGATGGAGCCTTTCTTTACATAACTTAAAACATTTTTCAGAGTCCTCTGGAGAAGATAAACAACAATGACCCTCGATCTAAAATGGGAGGGTGAATTTATTTACACAATCCCTCAATCAGTCACCCAGCTACTCATTCAGCAGACACTCCCTGACAGGCTCTCTTTGGTAGGTATTTGGGTGAACAAAGACAGCAATGAGAACCCTGCCCTTAAGGTGGCTTGCAGCCTAAGAGAGAGAACTTGGCTTTGGGCCAAGCTTGGTTCCCTAAGCCGATGCACCACAGATGTTTCAAAGACCAATCAAATAAGAACCAGAACTTCTGTCTTAGTCAATTACACCTACTATTTGACAAAGCCTTTTCCATCACCTTTACCCTCACCTTGTGCATGCCTTTTTGCACTGGGCAGGTAGAGAACTGGTGATGTATTTCAAGCAGAAGTGGATTTACTTGTAAAGTTAAAGAAGCTTCAGTTTTAAGCTCCCCGTGTCCCCCTTCCAAGACCCTGGGATGGGCGCTAGCAGTGTGTCCTAATGGTATATAAAATTTGGGAAAGGTGTTTTTGTATCATTTTTCTTAAAGAGGATCCAAAAATGTGTAAGTTTCAGGCCCCATAAAACCTGAATCAGACCTGTTTCCAAATCTGGATGCACCTGGAGGTGACAGTTTGCAGAGGGATCCAGCTGCTTATTACTTACCTCCTGTTGGGGAGCACACACTACCGGCAGTGAGCATTGGAGCAAGGCGTGGAGCTGTGTAGATGGCTGGGGTACAGCAATGTTTTTGAGCAAAGCACACATTGTTCATTGATGACCTTACTGCCACTTCCACCACCCTGTGCCCCCCCCCCCCCCCGCACCCCCACCGTCTCCACCTTTGGCCTCTAGAGCCAGTTAAACTGAGCGAAGCAACTGTCAGGACCCAGATTGAATTTCTCACCTAGCACAGACCCTACCCGATTGGTTTTGTGTAGTCTAGTAATCCACACACATCAGCCTTGGAACCTTAAAATGAGGTCTCAAGGTCAGGGGCAGTGTGGTCTCTCTGCCTCATTTGCCTTGAGAAGCTTTTAATAATGCAATTTCTGTTTTTGGTAGCTAGGTTTCAGTTAAGAGTCAGTTGGGGAAGTCTACCCTGAGACATTTTCAGACCTTCTTTAAATTCAAGGCCAGGAGTTCACAACTGCTCTGCTGTATCATGTGACACCCGGAACAAAGGGCTTAAGAGGACCGCTAAGCTCCCCTGAAACTGTTCCTGACCCTCTCAGCACAGCCCTAGTTAGTGCCTGGGGTGAGCTGCCCTGCCCAGTTCTCAGCTCCCTTGAAACCGGAGAAGCGGAGCTCTGTGGTTTAAATTAAAGGAGGAGATGTGCTTTGCACAAATTAGCTTTCCTATTGATGTGGTGCATATTACAAAGATCGGGCCTCTTGTTTTAATTCAAATCCATGTGCTGCAATTTTGATTTAATTTAAAACTAAATAAGAGCCAGCAATTGCTTGAAGGAGAGGAAAAACCAAGCCCAGTTGAGCCCCGGCAGCCTTCCTGAAACCACTGTGGCTGGGGACTTTAGCCTACTGGGCTTCAGAGGCTCCATGCAGAGCTGCTGGGCTGATCCGGATGGAACGGAGGCCCTGAAGCACCCGGGCAGGTTCAAGGGCCCCAACGGTGGGTCACAGGACATAATTCTCCAATTTGTCCATTTCTGTTGCACTTTGAAGAGACATTGCACCCCTGATGTGTCCTATTGCATAAACTAGGAAGGGTTTTTAACTGGGGAAATGTGACCTCAGTGTATGGATATAGTATAAAACCTCATCCAAGAGTTTACATAGCCATAAAGACAACAGCACCAAGGGTGGCCAGGCTTTGCTGCTAATGTTGCTTGTCGCTCATTTGATCGTCCCCAGCACTCATTGGCATTCAGACAGCTGCTGGCGCCAAAGAACTGAGAGAAAG